TCTTCACAAATCCATGCTGGCTGTTCCCTATCACCTTACCACCTTCCAAGTGTTTGCAGATGATTTCCTTAATTTGTCTTTATTGAATGTCATCTTATTAATTGCAGACCAATTCTCCAGTTTATCAAGATCATTTTTAATTCTAATCCTGCCTGCTTGCAAGTCCTCCCAGCTTGGTATCATCCACAGACTTGATAAGCGCTCTCTCCACTCGATTATTCAAGTCATTAATGAAAAGTAGGACCAGACTCAGGACAGACCCCCACGGGACCCATTAGATGGAACCTCCCTGTTTGACAGCGAGTTATTTTTCAGAATGAAGTGTTCCAACGGTGAATCACTTGTACACCCCTCTGGCACATGTTAAGCAGCACACAGCCCATCTCAGTATAGGAAATATATTATTCCCCCCCACCCCCATATGGGAAAGGAGAGTCTATAGATTTTTCTCCCTTTGCCCTCTCCTCTGCAAAGCCCAGCTGACGCTTCTCCAATGTGCTGTCTATAATATTTAGGACTGTATTTCAATAGTCACAGCCCTCTTCAGCCCTGAGGGACCTCAAAGACAGACACAGACTCAGAGAAATGAGTCCTCCTCCCGCCCTCCTGCATGTCAAAAACAAGAAGTGGGTTCACACCACCCAGGTCTGGTGGGATGATGAGAAATGTGGATCCCAAACTTTGAGACCTACTCACTTGACAAGAGAGAGCAGTACACACAACTTTCTACTCCAGGGCCATGCAAGACAAACAGTCCACTCCAGAGCCCCTGGGATCGAGCTCAATCTCTACCACAGGAGTGGGTAAACCTCACCTGAAGCCTGTGAGCTCTGTAATGGGGCCTACTTTCTTCTTTAATACAAAGGTTCAGGCCATAGAGTCTACAGGGCCTGGCATAAAATTATCTTAGAGCTTGAATCAAGCTCGGCATCTCCATGTGAAAGATGACAGTGGCTGCATTCTGTTGCTTTATAACAGTTCTTGGGTTCCAGATACACTGTCCGTGTGGGTCTGGCTTGGCAGCTCTGACGGCTGGGCAGCTTGGAATCCCTCTGAATCATGTTTCTAACACAAACCGGTAGCTCTGTTTATGTTTACTCCCCTCTCTTTTCCTTCCATCGTTTGCATTCATTTTGGCATTCATTTTGCAGGGGGTGCTCCTGGGTCAGCTCAGGGGTAGGCAACCTATGGCACGCGTGCCGCCTTCGGCACGCGAGCTGATTTTCAGTGGCACTCACGCTGACCGGGTCCTGGCCACCGGTCC